TTATGGCTAAGCTGAGCTAACTGGATGCTTGCCAGAGCTTACCACTTAAGAGAGTGCCGTCAGTTCTTTCAGCTAACTCCCTTAAATAAAGCAAATAAGTGTGTTTAACTGTCAAAGTATTTATTTAACCTCAGGCTCAAAGAAGGCTCTGACTTAAGGATTCAAACTGGAAACATAAGATCCCAGGTCAATTCACCTGACACAACTTGATATTCAGTTTTCAATGAAAATGTGATATTGCTCTCACATTCAGACTCATTATAGTCAGAGGGTAAAGGGAAAAGGTATTGCTGAGACGGTGTTACCACTGATTAAATGCTTCACCTCAATGTGACTTTTTGCTGGCTCTCAGCATGTCAGGGTCTAAGTGAGATTATTGCCTTCTGCAAATGGTCACACACACAGTCACAGAGAGCACTCCCTGGTGAGCATCTTCCACTCGCAGGCGACTTAATTAGGAAGCCATCTTAAGAAATGCACCTGGCTTCACACTCCCCTGCCTCTGACTCACAGCTAGTTATCTGGAATAGTGCTGCTGCTCTCTGACCAGGTTTTATCTGGATTCAGACATGAACAGTGCCTTACAACTAACCTGAAAAGACCTTGAGGTCACACAAATTCAGGCTGTGTAAAGAGAGAGAAATGTGATACAGTGCAAGGTCAGTGGCCAGCAGTAGCTCAGTCTGTAGGGACTTGGCTGGGCACCGGAGGGTCACTGGTTCAAGTCCAGCATGGACCACAATATGGAGTGTGGACTGGTAGCTAGAGAGGTGCCAGGTCCACCTCCTGTGGCCCTTGAGTAAGGCAGCTAACTTCTCCCAGAGTGCCGCTACCTGGCAGCGCATCACTCCACTGTCTCTCGACATTTGCATATCTATAAGTCCGTGCATGTGCATGATTGTATTTTAGGCCTGTGTGTTTAAAACAAATAGTGATTAATAAAGTGTGTGTGTAGTCAAAGCATGACCTTTATTTAAAGAGAGGTACATTCAGAAAACCAAGTAATTGTTCCTCGTAGAAAAGTGACCCTTACAAAGATTGTACTGTATAAAAACCATAACACCCTGAAAGTAGAGCACACAAACTCAATACAGCCAAACCACAAATCTGTATATTATGGGAAAAACCTGTGTTTCAACCAGAGCTCCATTCTCCATCAGCTGCTGTGCCACTCTACGACCAGATTGCTTTTCCACTGTGATTTTAAGATTGGCAATATCTGTCCACGTGCTAAGCATCTAACCTGTGCAGTCATCATGCAGCTTTTCACTCAGGCAATCATGAGCAGTCTTTTGGGACTGAAGCTGTCTGTTGGGAACTGGAGGAAACCAGGAAACCAGCAGCAGTTAGGGGAAGGCTGATGTAATGCTGATGTTTTAAAAAAAAAAAGATTTGCCACCTCTGCTCCCTGGGACATCTTGTTTACCAGTGCTGCTGGCTCGCTGTTCTTTTCTACTTCCTTCCCTCACAATTTCTTTAATCTGTTTCAGCTCTCCAGCAGGCGTTTCAGATATCCCACTTCGAGGTGATGCAGTCCCCTTTTTTAAATAAGAATCCACTACTTTTCTACTTTTCCATTTCTCCTCAAACCCCCTCTTTGTAGCTTTATCTTCACCCCTTCCAGCCTCTGGTTGCAATCACACAGTCTCCTCACAATCAGACCAGCTGGAAACCTCCAACGTGAGTCGAACAAAGTGGCTGCAGGGCTGCACTCAAGCACACCTTCAATTCTTCACTGGCTGTTTTTCTGACCCTCTGTTTTTTTCCACTTTGCTTTCCCCAGTGTCTCCTTACATTCCCGTGAGATTGTCTCTTACAGTTTCAAACTAAACCATACATCTACATCTGCCAACTGCTTCCTCACTAACTTAGGCAGTGCTGTAGGAACTTGTTTCCATAAATTGTGTAATTTGCTTATGTTACTGGAAATAGTTTAAAGAAGAGTGCTGTTGATCTTGGGGGACTTCCATTTCCTCCCACATCCTGCTGTTTACAGTGCTCAGGGAGAACAGGAACACAAGAAAGTCAACAGACGGGCAGACATTAAAGTAAAGATTGTTAGACGTAATATTCAATACATTAGTAGTAGAAGGTTGTATCATTGCACTTTCATTTTGACGTTTGACTCACAACTCAACAGACCATTGATGTGCAGCAGTATGTGATTTTTTTTCCATGGGAACACATTTCAAGCTCTCTGTTTTGTAGTTAAGGGGAGTTTTAACTCTACCTTCTCACTGCATGGTGTCACCAAAGAGCTCGCTGACACACACTTTAATACTATGGCACCTGTGTCCTCATTAATCTAGACCCTCGTACTGTCGTTGCCGTGGCAACAGAAACCCGGGAGAAAATGAGTCCATCACTCAACTGGATGCCTTGTTGCCAGAGTGGAGTTGTGCAGAGGTTGATAGTTGAGAGTTGATTTGTTGTGTTGTTTGTTTCCTGTGCTTTTGACTTGCAGGGTCGTCATCAAATGTTTTAAACATGACGCTGGTGCTGGGAGTTTCACCTTGTGATGAATGTAAAGGAAAGGAAGCTGTGATTTTAATCATTCAATTGATTTCCCGCAGGTGCAATCAGTAGCCACCACCTTCTAATCAATGACGAGCGACTGTGTTTAACACACTGCCTTTAATCTTGTGGTTGTCAATAAAACAGTGAGATGCTATCTGTGTCCACATGAGTACCCACAGGCTGACTCTCATAGCTACAACTGACAACTATAGTAAAAGTTATCAGTGACCTGCAGCTGCAGCACTGAATAACTGATCAACAGTTCTTCAAGATTTTATGTGAATTAAAGCAACATGTGTAAGAGATGTGATGTCGTAAATATAGACAGCAGTACACATGCATGTGTTATGATCACATTGTTTATGATTAAAAACTATCAAATCAACAACTTTGTTAACACAGCCAAACATCAAGCAGCGCAGCAACACGAGACATAGCAAGCCAGTTAATATTACAGACTAGATGACCGTCTGCAGCTCACCGTCTGCAGCTCACCGTCTGCCTGCAGCCTTTTATTTCACAAGGCTCTCGACAACAACTAAAAGGCAGTCCCAGATTTACTCTTGTCTGGCGGCCTCCTGCTCGTTCACTCTCTCCTTTTTTCTTCTTTACTTCCTCCATTGTCGTCTTTGGTGTCTTTGTCTCTGCTGTTTGCTATGTCAAAGCTGCTGAGCCCAGTTACATTGCCCGCTTACCTGGCTCTGGTTCTGGCACGACGCTGGCGCTGCTGTCTATCGACCTTTCCTGTTCCATAGTTGGTGGTGTAGTTGGTGAAACTGGATCAACTATCGAAAAGTGTCACGCTCTCCGACCTGGAGCCAACAGTCACATAGTGCGAGAACAGTCGTATGCACCATTCAGCCTATTACAACTCTACAACTGAAAAGTGACATAATGTTGTTTTAAACTACAGTTTCTATTATATATGCAAGAATTATGCCTTTAACTAGAGAGCTTGGAGGTTCAAAGGTTCCAAACTTCAAAAATATGCCAACCATAACCTCTAAATATCACCAATATACACAGTATTCATTGTTTTATCAGCACACAAACAGATATGAAAATGCAAATTTGTGGTTTAACAAGGAGGCGTGTAGAGTAACTATTTCTTGACCAACAACACTGATGTTATAGTGAAGTTTATGGTCAAGCAGTGGAGAGGTGCATGTATGTGGGGCAGAGAGATAAAGAAATACTTACAGCATGTACAGTAACTCCCCCTAAAACCACCAGTGATCTTTGTCACAGCACAGCTTGAGGGTAGGACAAAGAGGAGAGGACCACACATGACCATGACGTGTGGTAACAAAGAAAATGCACACCAAGAAAAGACGAACCCAAACAACAAACCATATACCCAGGAAGAGAGAGACACTGACTGACTCCTCCAGCGTATATATCGGAGGAGCAGCAGGTGCTAATTATTCCTTCCTAAAAGGGAAAGACAGCCCAAACACCTAGTCAAGGGGCTGTCACATTGTGTTTTTTGTTGGTGTTTGTATTTTTATTTGAGCATTAGAAGTGCTGGTAGACATGTATTTATTAATCACCTGGAAATAAGAATGTTTTTGTTACCGTAGAATGAGATATTTCTCTTCCATGGAGGCTGTCATGATGAACGGTATGTTTCTACCGTAGTTCATAATGGATAAACCAAACACTGGCTCTAATTGGGCTGTTCGCTTGTTTCTCCATCACACTTGGAAGTTGGACTTTAAATTGTTTTGGTTGTTTTTTAAGTTGTTTTATTTAAAAATGCCAGTTTGATGTATCTATTTTCACCTGAATCTCCCTGAAATCTGCATTATGATTAATTTACACCTTTGGTTCATTCTGCAGCTATTCCTTGAAGTGCTTCCATGGTATATTTAAGTGAAATAACTCTTCAGATGTGAGTTAATTAAAAGTTAAAGTTAATTAACTTAAGTAGTCATCACTTTAACCTTTCAACACTTAATAAATATACTTCTATGGCAGTTGGGGTATTTTAAATAAATTATGTGGTCTGCTACAGCTGGCAGAGCGGAGATCATAACCAATTTTGTGTAAGTTGCTGAATGTGTTGTTTTTACTGATCCAATGAGAGGGCAGTTGATTGCCTGTGGGTCTGATTACTTAGCTTCCATTCCCCTGAGCTCCAGTACACATTAGTGATGGCCTTTTGTGGTGGCCTGTGGTTCTGACAGCTTGTGTGCAGGTCTCTCTCTGTGCTGAGCCAAAATCGTAATCAGAGACACTGAACAGAGACAGATTGAAAGCTGGATTGATGCATAATGCAGCACCTGTTCAATCTGCAGACGCTGGGTTGATATATGCATATTTAGAGATAGATAGATAGAGAGATAGAGAGATAGATAGATTTTTTTTGTGACTTCTCATTCAAAGTTATATTAAAATGTCTGACGTGCTCTGAGAGATGTGTTTTGATTTTCTCCTCCACACTTAATTTCTTATCTGTCTGGATTGTGTTCTTGTCTCCACAGCGCTGTCAACAAGCTGTTATTTGTCCCTGCATCATGGAGGCTCAGCCTGGTGCATCATGGGAGTTCATCAATGGCGTGACAGATACAATATATGAGGGCTGAGAGGTCGTCATGGAGACTGACAGCTACACCCCAGGCCCAGACACCACAGACTGGGCTGGGACGGTGGCCGGCCTGGAGGGAATGGGAGTCCTTCAGGAGGAGGGAGGAGTGGACCCGGCATCCTGGTACATGCCATACTCACTGGGTTTCCAGGTGTCGCTCACTGCCTTCCTCATGCTGGAGCTGGTGTTGGGTTTCAGCAGCAACCTGACGGTGCTGGTGCTCTACTGCTCTCAATCCAATTTAGTGGACTCGGTGAGCAATATGGTGACTGTCAATCTGCATGTGCTGGATGTGGTGGTGTGTGTGCTGTGTCTGCCCCTCACTCTGGTGGTTGTGCTGCTGCCTCCAGGACCAAATCTGGCCCTGCTCTGCTGCTTCCATGAGGCCTGTGTCACCTTTGCCAGCATAGCCACAGCCATCAACATCCTAGTTATCAGCTTGGACCGATATGATATCTCAGTACGGCCGGCCAACAGACTGCTGACCACACGTAGAGCGTCGCTGCTCCTGGCTGCTGTTTGGGTCACCTCGGTGGCTGTGTTTTTTATCCCATTCTTGGAGGTGCAGTGGTTCAGTGGAGAAGGAGCAGAGGAGAGGGGGCAGGTGACACCCTTGTCCTCACGTGGTAACAGTGCAACAGTGGTGCCAGCATGGCGTAACCGGACACTGCTCTGTGTTGGCGGACAGGGCTACCACACAGGCCTTGGTATGTATTACCATCTTATCCTGCAGGTACCGATCTTCTTCACCACTGTGGCTGTCATGCTATTTACCTACTCCAGAATACTGAGGGCTTTAAACATCCGCATTGGCTCCCACATAAAGAAGAGCCAGCGGTTCAGGGGCCCCTCCTGCAGGGGGCGCCACAAGAAACAGAAAAAAAAGAAGGCAGGTGTCAGAATAAATGATGGTGGGGAGGGAGGAGGGGAGCAATGCACCACAGATGGTACCAAACAGCTCAGCCACCCTCCTCTCATCCCTTCCCCAACCCCTACCCCCACAGCTACCTCCCCCCCTGCCCTGTCCTCTTCCGCCCCACTCGTCACCTCTGACACGGGCGCTGCAACCCCCATGCCCGCTACCATGGGCGTCCAGGCCTCCGTATCGGCCATCATTGCTCTGAGGAGGGCAGTGCGACGACACAGGGATCGGCGAGAGCGACAGAGGCGGGTGTTCAGGATGTCCCTCATCATTATCACCACCTTCTTGGGCTGTTGGGCTCCCCTCTCTGTGACCAACTTGCTAATCCTGGGCCTAGGCCCCAGCGACACCCTGGTCAGCCTGCGCCTCTGGTTCTTAGCTCTGGCCTACGGTACCACCGTCTCCCACCCTCTGCTTTATGCCTTCACCAGACAGAAGCTGCGCCGTGCCCTTCGGGCCAAGGTTAAGAAGAGGGTGGTGTCTCTGCTCCAGGTAGACCCCTCTCCGGGGGGCACCGTCATACACAACTCCTGGGTGGAGAACAGAAAAACCAGCCGGCAGGTGCGGCTGGAAGCAAGCGAAGGTACTGACCGCTGCCTGGCAGAGGTCCTGTGAGACTGACACACGTGGGCCCTCCTAGTATAATTAAAAACGGGAATACAGACACAGGTGTGTTCCATTATAAGACTCAGTGGTGTGTGAAGCCGGTGTATGAAATGTGAAAAACACATTTCCTCCTCTGGGAGATGTTTAACGTAACCATGCCATTGCTAAACACATCTAATGTTCACCTCAGGCAGCAGTGGGAGCAGGATGCTGTCGTCACTGTGGTGTGCACAGCCTCTGGAGCTGAAGAAAATCATACGACAACATACAAGTGTAATTTGCACTCTGTTAAATAGTGATGTCTGTTTACATATGGAGTTGTATGATTGAGCGTTCTCATAGGGGTGCTTACTTAACTGCTCTCAAGAATGTGTTTAGCAAGCAGATAATCTGATCTGCCACCCGCTCAATTGCTCCAAGGCAGCTTTAAAGAAATGTTGATAGACTTCCAACAGACACAATAACTTCTCAAAACCTCCTTAAATGTATTTAATATCGTCTCTGCCTTAATTCTGCTCTGAAAGTTCTGCTAGATTGTATTTTGAACAAAAAGGGGAATATGTCGGACACTTGTATGATGGTGAGATGTAGATGTGTCCGGGTTTTGGAGGGAAGGTCCACAGAGCAAGGAACAAGTCAGAGCACAATTAAAGGCTAGTGTGAAATATTAAATGCAGTTTTGCTTTAGCTTAAGTAGTTATTAAACGTCTACGTTACAGTGTTTATAAAATCTTGCAAAACTCCTTCATATAAATGCAACTCTCTTGCTCCCCAATTTGTATAAAATGGTGTAATATCTTATTGATGTTTTGCATATACTGCTGGGAGAAGGTGAGCGCATTGTTTAAAGGTGTAGTTTGACTAAGGAAAAGACTCATTTGCTTTCTTTCAGATAATTTTATGTAAAGATTGATCCTGATTTGACATTGTGACCTCACAAAACATGTTTTTGGCCCTAACTCAAGAATGTTTGACAATATTTTACAACTAAGATGCTAAACAATGCTATGCTAAGATAAGCTTACCGGACTCTTGACTATATATTTAGCGAATGGAGATGTGAGTGGTAGCTCAATTATTATTATCTAACTCTCGCAAGTAAGTAAATCAGTCTCTTTCTCAAAATATCTTAAAACTATTATAACTGGCTATGCTGAAGCAGCTAATTTGGATGACACTGTAAAATGGAAGTGACAGACAAAATAACGAGAACACCTTTCAATATAATGCAGTCCAGTACACTACATCACATAATAACTACAATCTCAAAAATAATCGTCATGTTCAATCAACGCCTCTCTGACAGTTTCTCAACAAAAAACCTGCAGCCTCATGAAATATAGTATTCACTGCAGGTCTACTGTTTTTGGACTGCATTATATTTAAGACGTCCCTGACATTCAGTTTGGGATTTTGGTATGTTAAAAGCATGCGGTTCTCTTTTGAAATAACATCTGTGTACATACTGTAAATACTGACCAGATTCTCTACAGTAAAAGTCACTTGGTCTGTATGTGATTATAGACTGACTTTTAGAGGAATGTTTCAGTTGCAGCTGGCTCGTGGTGTCAGCACCCAGACATCTGGTCCCGTGGGTCAACTCAACAGGCAAACACAAGGGAGTAATTGTGACTACACATTGGTGGGACTATTAACAAAACTAGAGTTTGCTGTTGACTTTGTACTTCCTTGTTTGTTCACTGATCTGATGCTGCACTCACACTGGGACTCATTTCAGAGGCCATGTGTTTTCTCACACACACAGTCGATGTGTTCTTGAATGTAAACATGTGAAAAAAAGATATGAATTATACTGTAATTACACCAAGGATATGCTGTCTTTAAAGGTTTTCTTCATGGTGTTGTTTTTATGTGAATGTGTCACTTTGCAATGTTGAATTATATCAATAAATATGAAATGCTGAGGTATGTATTTGCTGCCTTTGTTCTGTGCTCTTGTCTGCATGCATTCCTGCAAGCTGTCTGCTGTGAGTGTGTTGAATGAAAAAGAAGTTCTGTAGGCTATATCATATACAGAAAAATACAAAGTATAAAGGCTGCAATAATATTTCTGAGCAAAAAGCCTGAGGCCAGGGGTTCCCAGGCTTTATCTGACTAAAAAGCCCTGGCCTCAGGTTTAGCTGTGATAATTGCATTTTTCCTCATGAAGTATTTGACTTGCGATGAAACCTGCTGTGAGGGGAACAACAAGAGGACAATGTACAGCACTGTCCATATAGCTCACATGATAATTCCCTCTGTACTTGAAGGGACATATAGTGATACACTGCTGAGCTAAAGAACAGCAAGTCCTCCTGGACACAACCACACATTGTTGCATTGAATAAACAGTTATTGGGTTTGTGGTTTGTGTTGAACAGAGACTGCATTTTGCATATGATGTACTGTTTGTGCACTTAGAACAATCAGAAAGCAGCCAATAATATAGTGAGTAGGTGGTGCAATTTTTATGTGTTAATTTTAGCATTGTCTTGTCACTGTTGGTATGGTAAAACAAACTTCACTGCTTGCTGATGAGAACACATCCTCTGCTGTTTCAGTGGGTGCACCCATGTTCAGTATGGGTGCCCTCAGTAGGCACAGAGCACCTACAGTAGCCTACCTGGCACTGTTTATGTATCATGCTCCTCCCAGTGAGCTATACTGTACCACTAGGTGAAAAGCTGCCAGCACGCTGTTTAAAAACTTTGCGTGGGCTTTGTGTTGCGTGGGAGGGAGGCGCAACAGACCTCTGCAGTATGGGAAAAAGAAGGTCATCTATGTGGGATGAAGCCTGCAGGACAAAGTAATTCTGCAACTCAAGCCTAGCGAAAACAGCCTCTTCTACTTTTGATTATGTGTACATTTTAATATATTTCTTGTCAGGATCAAATGACATTTAAATACCAATCGCAGTTTTCGTAAAAAAAACATATGATGATATGATATATCATTTATTTGAAGGGGAACCTCTGCTGTTATAATGTGACATTACACTTTACGCCAGCCTAGACTGAGTGTGAGGTTCGAGCCCGGGTTCCGGCAGTGAAAGGGCTGTTGTTTAATGTTTAGGCAACATAAGTGACTGACATGCTTTAGGATACAAAAGGAAGTAAGACAGAGACATAAAGTGCTTGTCTTTTGTCTTTTCGTATGAATTTACTGAGAATTATATTATATTATTATTACACTTAAATAACTCAGGTGGAGGCAAACTACCCACATATTCAGGAAAAAACAAAAAATGTCTACTCATGTGATGTTAGTTTGCCTAATGTTTTACACTATAGTGAAATTGTTCTTTTTGTGAATGTAGCCTGAAGGATTTGCAGCATTCATTCATATCTTTAGGGACATTAAATATTATTGGAAAATACTACTTCCCGTAAGAGTTTTAACTGGCTATTGATTTATTATTGTTTTCATTTAGTAAAAAAAAAAAAAAAAAAAAATTATACTTTTACGATATATGTGAGCACAAGGGGGCCCTCTGCGGTTATCATGTGACATTACGTCTCTTTTTGCATAGCAGCCGAAATAGCTCAGTTGGGAGAGCGTTAGACTGAAGATCTAAAGGTCCCTGGTTCGATCCCGGGTTTCGGCAGGAAACGGGCTTCTTCTTTTCATGATACTTCTAAGTGAGGTTTGTGTTTTTTAAATCGTCCTTTCTTTCTGAGGAAACACACCAGTGCTTAAATTTGAGAAATGACAGACAAGTTTAAAGATAAGCGAACACAACTTTAAAAGAGGTTTACGTCGTCTCTGTGCAGCGTATTTATCAAAGATTTAACTGACAAGTGACACTTTATGCTTAACGTCAGCAAAACGTGGATAACATCAAGGTATTTTGTTCCATAGCATTCCGGTTTATATAAAACCAGTCAAGACTGTAAATGAACATACAGTGAACTAAATGGAAAGAGAATATAGAGCACTAAGCTGGAAGGACACACGTGCAGAGTCAGTGTTATTGACGAAACCGTGGAACCAGCATCCTGCCACAAGCATTACGAGATAAGTACAAGATGCACTGGGTGAGTGAGTTCATGTGAGGTATTTGCTGAAAGAACTGGTTTTACATGAGTTTGAAGAACTGATGTAGTAAGCAAAAATGTTTTACGGCTGAATATCACTCAGGCAAACACACACACACACACACACACACACACACACACACACACACACACACACAGACACACACACACACAACTACCAACTCAGTGATTTGCAGCCTCTGGTCAAAATCTCACCTGATGTTCAAAACTAGAAGTCAGTGAAGACCTGAAGCAGAAAGCACATTTAGACACAGAGCTACGTGTGGGCCTAACCTTGAGCCCGAAAAACTTGCATGCTGGTGCCAAGATTTGATTGTTGACTCACTATCAATAGAAAAACTGACTAATCAGTCAGGAAGAAGATGAAGAACCATGTGGAGGTTACCAGAGAAGACCCCCTAACCCCCTCCCTTTGTAAATGTTATTGAGTCTGAAGAAATGTTATAAGTCTATCAGAGATAAAGTTTACATTCTGTAAGTAATAACTTTTTTACAATTTGATTAAAATGCAATAAACAACTTCAGATAAACTTTAAACATTGTGTTGTTGCCATGAATATATATTAAAATACAAATACTCTGTTTGCATTCTTTGTATGGCTTATGTATGTATAGTAGTATGCTGATTTTAGGACAATAATACGTTTAAAAGTGAAATGGTAGAAGAATACATGTATTGAAAAGAAGCGGGAAACACCCAGCGTGAGGCAAACAGCATGCTGATAATGTACAGTACTGTAGGAGCTCATATGATGATTCACATCCAGCTGCGGATGTGAACTCTCAGCGCTCTGCCAAACAACCAGACATTGTTATGATAAATTGTATCACTGTTGGAATTTCATCAGCTCAGACTGCTACACATTTCAGTAGTTAGTGAAAATGTCCACAAATATAGGGTCTCTGCCTGCAGTTCAACATCTGCCACTCATGCTGTAGCATCATCTGACCTCTTCCATCCCGGGCTCCCTGCTCCACTGCCATCTGGCCAAATGTACTGGCAGCATCTGCGACATATTCTGTCCAGTTTCTGCCAGTCTTTTCTCAACCAGACGACACCCCGAGGTTTTAACTTTAAGTTTTGAGCATCCTAACTTGCACCAGTAGGGCTCAAGGCTAAATCTAATGGATGTTTACAATAGATGTTTTAGGTCATAACATATAAAGGTCACCTTCATTTTCACTTCCAAATGGGTTTTATTGTTAATTGTTATTCTTAAACACATGTACCTGTTTAAAACCAATGCTGCTGTTTCTTGGACTCCATTATAAAGCTGTAGTGTCACTGTGTGCTAATATCTCAGCAGTGAAGCTGGTGAATATCACCCAAATGATAGACAGATGACTCTCTTCTCTGTTTTAGCTTTTGTGACTACATGATGTCCTTTATGTGTCAGTGTGAGTATACTTTATTGTCTCTGTTGTCACATCAGATTTTTACAGCTTTTTCTCTTCTTAGTAATAAATGTGCTTAATTTGCACTGAACCCTGGCTGCACTGCCCAGCAGCACTTTATCATGGCTACCAAATGGTTTCAGATTTTAACAAACTGATACATCTTTTTTTATTTGGTTGTTTGCTGTAACTGTTGTGATTAATGACCTATTTCTTGTTTGTGTTCTTACCCTCCCTCTTCTCTAAATCAAATTTCCCTTCGAGGGACAATAATGATCTGATCCTGATTGTAAACATTTACCACATTTTAGCCAACCTGTTTTTAATTTAAACCTTTGGTAACCCCCGTCCTGATTTAAGTGTTAGTTGTTGTATTTAATGAATTAAATGACAATTAAATTAACTGAAACCTCGACCAAGAGTTCATCATCATCATGTGTGAATTTGTGTGCAGCACACTAGGTTCTGTATTGCTGCATTTTAAACACACTACTCCTCATGAAAGCCAACCTAAATCTATAAGGTAAAGTGTGTGTGTGAATGTACATTCATATGTATTTTGTAAAAACCTTAACTTTAAAAGTAACAGTAGGCTACTATCAGCATGTTTGGCCTACACCACACTATAGGTTATATATTATAGGTTTTTTAGGTATATTATAGGCATAGGCCATTTGCATCTTCTATGAAACAATTCTTTAGACACTGTTAATTATTAATGAGGGGAAATAATGAAAGCATTCCCTTTAAATCTCTCAATAGTGCCTGTGATGTTCTATGCTAGCCTGCCCTCTGGTGGGCACACCGACAAAATGCTGAGACAAATACAAGAGAGACATCTGCCGTTATAGCTCGACATTATAGTGACACCTATACGCAAGCCGAAATAGCTCAGTTGGGAGAGCGTTAGACTGAAGATCTAAAGGTCCCTGGTTCGATCCCGGGTTTCGGCAGTGGACGGGCAGCTTTTGAGTTCACGGACAACGTATGTGATGCTTTGGGAAATAAATGGAATGAAAGTACTTCGTGGTTGGTTAGAAGAATATCCACTGTAAACTGGCTAGGTTTACTGAGAAACGTATTCTGTTGTACTACACTTAATAGATAACTGAGATGGAAGCAAACTACCCGTAACACACAAAATGTGCAGTTACTTGGTGATGTTAGCCTGCAGAATGATTTACACTATAGTGAAATTGCTCTTTTTGTGAATGTAGCTTGAAGGATTTGCAGCATTCATTCATACGTTTAGGTTTGTAAAGGACATGAAAATACTGCTTCCCTGAAGAGTTTTAACCGGTTATTGATGTATTACTGGATTATTTTTCTTCGAAGGAAACGTTTGGAGGATGACACACAGCAGTAGTACATTTAACAGCCAGTAGGTGGCAGGACTTGTAAAGAGTTTCAGCAGTGTTCAGCTGAAGCGCCGATGGATTATTGCAACAGAGCAAACCGAAATAATCTGTTTTTCTGCAA